AATATACTATTTAACATAATACATAAATTACATTAATTAATGCCAAGAAACTACATCGTAGTGTGCCTATATCGTCATCGTAGTGTGCGTAGCAATGAAGCTATATGAAATTTTTTATGTGAAATTTAAAAGAAATTTATCAATTAATTTGATTAATTTTATATGAAATTTAATAAATATAATTTTTAAAATTTTTAAATTTAAAAATAATTAATAATTTTTTGAAAATAAAATTAAATAATAAAATTTATGAAAGAATTAAAATAAAATAATAGATCAAATTCTTTTAAATAGAGGCAAAATCATAAGTTAGGCCAAATGTGGTTTGGCCGAAAAATCGCAAAAGGGTCGATAGCCTGAACAAAGTGTCGGCACCTTGAGTGAAGCGCTGGCTCGATGCGCCCTTTCGGGTTTTTGACCTTTTGTGTAATTTTGGTTAATAGCAGAATAACAGTCCTGGTCCCTAACTCCTGGACTCCGCACAAGTTGATCATCATATTTTTGATATCTGCAATGTGCTCCTTAATCAAAAATGGAGAAAATCTCACTTGAACATTCAAACTTCCAAATTTGATTCTTGGACCCTCATCTTTCTGACTCTTTGCATTTGAGTCCTTTTCTTCCAATTCCCTCCATTTAATTATTAAACCTTCAATCATCAAAAATTTACACAACATGAAAAGAATGAACAATTACAAAATTACTTCTAAAAAAATACAACTCAAAATTCCACAATTGTCGATGATTAAGCATACTTTAAATATATATTTTTATACTTTCATCATTCTTAGAATTTGTTCAAGAAGCCATGAGGTTGTGGAGCCTATGGCAAAGCCCCAGTGGTACATTAACTGCAGTAAGATGGCAAAGCAGGCTCTTGATGCAGCTATGGATGATAAAAATAGGAAGCTGGAGTTCATTCCAAGACAATATACTGTTGAATGGAAAAGGTGGTAATGCCTTCATTACCGCTAACGAATAATGAATTTCACTTAATGCATTAACATTAATGAACCTTTAGTTTGTTGTCATATAGTTTAATCTGTGGTCATAATTCCTGATTATATTCCACTAATGATTTGCCTTCAATACTTGAGATTACAAATGGCTTGATAACCCATGTGATTGGTGCATCTCAAGGCAGCTATGGTGGGGTCACCAGGTTCCTGCATGGTGCATTAAACTAGAAGACAATGAATTGAAGGAACATGGAACAGATAATGACAACTGGATAGTTGCTAGAGATGAGAAAGAAGCTTTAGCAGAAGCAAACCAAAGATTTTCTGGGAAAAAATTTGAGATTTTTCAAGATCCAGATGTACTAGACACCTGGTTTTCTTCTGGCCTTTTTCCTTTATCTATCCTGGGATGGCTGATGATACCAACGACTTAAAGACCTTCTACCCAACATCAGTCCTTGAAACTGGACATGACATTCTCTTCTTCTAGGTGACTAGAATGGTTATGTTAGGAATTAAACTGGGAGGTGATGTGCCCTTTACCAAGGTGGGAATATTTTTCCTACACTGTACGTAAACCTTGTCATTGTTGGTTGTTTACTTGCAAGGTTTTCTATAGATTTCTTATCTGTCAATGAATTTAATGCTATGCAGGTTTATTTGCACCCTATGATACGTGATGCGCATGGCCGTAAGATGTCAAAGTCTCTGGGAAATGTAATTGATCCTCTTGAAGTAATAAATGGCATATCCCTTGAAGTTGTTAAGTGA